TTGAATATTAGTTATACAGTGTAAAACACGGTGAACGCCACTGTTAAATGTCAATGTAAATCAATACACTAATTAAATGAGTCTCTGCATATGACGGCTGGTAATTTACCATAAAACTATACAGTCAAGCCACACCAAAAACGTTCCCAAGGCGAATATATACATAGCATTTCTAGAATAATAACTAGCACAGGAAGGCACGCATTGGGACTGTTATGGAGTAAGATAGTTAGTGTATGCTGACCAAAGTAACGCAATGCGGCACTGTACCAGCGCACCCTGGAGTCAATAAATACTCAGACCAAGCACAGACCTGCATCCACGTGTCGTTGTCCGTAAAGTCAACAAAAATCAATGCAGAAGAATGTTTATTAAAGGGTACCTGGATCAGTTCTGTAATATGACCTTTCACCAAGTAAAAATCTGTACAGCATAGTCAAACGTACGTAAAGTGTAGTTCAATTTTTTCATACTAACATTTATCAAAAATAATATAAAATGGCATAGGTTCGTATGGGATTTGTGATTTGCACACATTGGCTAATTATGATATTTAAAACATAGTAAGTAGACTGGAGCTGAATCGCTGTCTGTGTAAGGGTCATGCATCGGCACGTTCAATCATTTTTGCTTGCAAACATATAACTCATTTTTTTTGATATCACTGAACACGTGTGGATTAATGTTGATTTAAAATTATGATAAAAATGGCCATGACAAAGATAAATGTTGAAGATGATTTGGAAACTATGACATGATGAGGGGCTCTCCAAACAGAGAGGGACAATATTGCTACACAAACTTGTATTCGATTAGACTTAAAAGCAAAGACACCAGAGATTCGACCTCTTCTTTGGTGTATTTTGTCTAAATTAAATGTTTTATTGACGAGTACAAGAGTAAATGTTTTGTTTTAAGTATTAAGAGATACCTCTACATGAGTGTTGTGATCCGTTTCATTTGCATAACACGTCTTATATAAGTCGATTATTAACACAGACATCTTCACTTTGCACCTGATCGGCTGTCGTGTAATCCAATCCACAACTACAATCTTATCCAGCAACATGGCTTTCTTGGGGAAATGGGCTTTTGTGAAAAATGAGAAGATGAGAGAGTTTGTAATTGCTGCCGGAGCACCAGAAGAAAATGTAAACAAAATGATTGATGTAGATATAACAGTGGAGTGCACCAGAGATGGCGACTATTACCAGATGTCTTTCATCGGACCCAAGAAAACCGTCGTACAGAAGTTCAAGCCGGGCGAACAATTCAAAGAGGAAATCGGGCCTTTCGGAAAGCACCGACAAGCTATCGCTACATTCGAAGGTGGTAATAAGCTGATCATCAAAGGAGTCAATGAAGGCGAAGCTGTGGAAACAAGAGAGATAAACGGTGACGAAATGACCTTCACTTTCACCAAACCTGGAATTGCATTTGTTGCAAAGCGTTTCTTCAAAAGGGCTTGAACGTATGTGCTTTGAACTAATTCCGTGTTGCTATGCAGTGATTGTCAACTATTCTGAAGTTACTACACCCATGGAGGTGTACTACCTCCATGCTACACCTATAGTGAATATTTTTACGTACACCAAATCAAATATGCATATTCTGTCGCATTTACTCTCTCTATTTCATATATTCGCTGTGAATTAACTTTTATAGACAATAGTAAAGCTCTTTTAAACGTTACATATTCAGTTTGAGAGTCATTCCTTTTTCTAATATTAAATCTAATCTGTCACATTGTATTCTGCATTCAATCGTAACAATGTGCATAATGAATGCCCTACACTGTACACTAAGAATATTCATCGGGTCCAAATCACTCAGTCGCGCTAAATCCATTTTTAACAGAAGAAAATACACAATTTAAGTCAGATCAGGGTTTATTGTTCGAACTACCACATCGACCCCCACCCCCGCCCACATCGACTTACTTACAAGTGTGTTCTCAGTAATCCAATATCATCCACTACTCACTTCCTATCCCACAAGAGAGATTGTGGTTTCCATCATTGATGATCGCCGGGTTACCCACGGTGTCATAAATTACAATCAAACAAACTGTCGCTTTGCCCTGGTGAATGACCATTACTTCGACTTCGACTCTGCTACTCATGTAAAACAAACAAACAACCCATTCTGTGTAGTTGACCATTAAAACACCCCGATGATCAATAGTCAAATGTATGTTCGCTTGTTAATGGTTGTCCAAGCGACGACATCATTCTAATCAACCAAACTGTCTCTTAAATGATGACCGTATTGAATATTACACAACATCGACTGAAAGGAGGAAATAGTTGATGTGTTATAGCTCTTGTATTATATTTGTTTTTCAACAGAAATATACACACTCGGTTTACACGCAGTACATAATTCAAAAAATCTCGCCTAACTACCGGTCGTCGATTTCAACCACTCGGTCGTAGCTCTCGATAAATGTTGTTACCTTAAATTATCTATTCATGAACACACTTTGTTGATAACACCACAACAATATATAGTTTCAAATGCGCCCACTCATTAATGTGTCAAAAAGTAAAAGGGTGTATTTGACCAATGTCTGTTCCCATTCAAGACGATAACCCCG